GAACTTCCCTTTCCCCTTCGATTCACCAGCGCAAGGGGGATGCACCAGACGAGCAGTGAAAGGAGAAACAGGGATTTGGGAATGGTTAGAGAAGAGGAAAGAAACATCAAGGACTAAGCAGGGGCTCTTGCACCTCTCTGCTCCACGGGAATATTCTTCCAGAGCAGCACAGGCAGAGAGGGAATTGCAGGTGCTCGACGCAGGGTTGGTGTGGTGCTGAAGGTGACAAGGTGTCCCGGTGTTGGGGACAGCTGGAGGAGGCACATCCAGCCCTCAGGCAGGGGCACAGGAGTTGGTGCTCAGGGGAAGCACCAACTTTGATTTCTCAGCCCTGGGGGGACAGGGAAGGGGTTAACGGGCATTGAAGAGGAGCATTGGAGCTGCCTGCGCTCCTGCACAGCTTCCCGAAGGGATGGAGCCAGGCTGGGGTGGGAACAGCACTCCCCACAGCCGGCCTGGGCTCGGCCAGGGGCTGCTGGGCCTGGCGGGGGACCCCAACCTGACGCTGCTGCACACCCGGGACGAGGAGCTGGCCAAGGCAGAGGTCGGGGTGCTGGGCACCATCCTGGCCATCGCCACCGTGGGCAACGCGGGGGTGCTGCTGGCCATGTACCGCCTGAGGAGGAAGATGAGCCGCATGCACCTCTTCATCCTGCACCTGGGGCTCACCGACCTGGCCGTGGCGCTCTTCCAGGTGCTGCCGCAGCTCGCCTGGAAGGTGACCTACCGCTTCCTGGGGCCGGACCCCCTCTGCAGGGCCGTCAAGTACCTGCAGGTGCTGAGCATGTTCGCCTCCACCTACATGCTCATCGCCATGACCCTGGACCGCTACCTGGCCGTGTGCCACCCGCTGCACACCCTGCAGCAGCCCACCCGCCAGGCCTACGCCATGATCGGGGCCACGTGGCTGCTCAGCTGCCTGCTCAGCCTGCCCCAGGTGTTCATCTTCTCCCTGCGGGAGGTCCGCCCGGGCTCGGGGGTGCTGGACTGCTGGGCAGACTTCAGGTACCCGTGGGGAGCCCGCGCCTACATCACCTGGACCACGCTGTGCATCTTCATCCTGCCCGTCGGCGTCCTCACCGTCTGCTACGGCCTCATCTGCCACGAGATCTGCAAGAACTTCAAGGGCAAGACCCAGAGCGGTGCCCCCAACCCGGGGGGGTCCGCAGGGGCTGCCCCTCCTGCCCCCTGCCCCCCGGAGAAGGGCGGGCAGCCCTCTCGGGTGAGCAGCGTGAGGACCATCTCCCGCGCCAAGATCCGCACGGTGAAGATGACCTTCGTCATCGTGGCCGCCTACGTGGCCTGCTGGGCGCCCTTCTTCAGCATGCAGATGTGGTCAGTGTGGGATGAGGATGCTCCTGATGATGGTGAGTGCTGGTGGGCATGGGGGGAGCTGCACAGGGTGTGGGCAGAGCCTTGGGAACACGCTCTGTTCCCATGGATCTGCTGAGTTTTTCCCAAACTCAAAACAAGAGCTGTCTGTTATTCTGTCATTTTTTAAAAAAATCACAGGGAAGGCTACAGGTTTCCTCCCCAGAGTCAAATCATTCCTTTCATCAGAAAAACCACTGAAAAATAATGCTTTCTGGCCATCATCCACAGGGACTGGCAAAGATGTGGGAACACCCGTGCCACGTCCCTTCCCTCATGCAGGAATTCACAGAGGTTTCCTGAGTGTGTTTCTGATTTCATGGGTTGATTAATTTTTTTCCCCCTGGAAATTTTCAGTAGCTCTCCTAGCCTGTCCATGGGTAGAAGGAACTTTATCCAAGGTCAAAACTCCTCTGGGAGATGCTTTGGCCAGCAGACAGGCTGCAGGAAGATCCAAAAGCTGCTGGGTCTCACCTCCCAGAAGGCTCCCTGAGGATGTGCTCTGGAACATCCCCACTGCAGAACATCACCCACCTGAACCCTCTGCCAAGGGTAGAGCCTGGCTCTGCCTGCACACTGCAGACCCTCCTACCCAAAGGAATGCCAGTGAGGTGGGATGGGAATGGGACAAAGGACAAGTGCCCAAACCAAAGAAAGCCCCCAGATCCTGCCCACTGCGACGCTGCCCAGCCCTTGTGGAGGTTTCATCTCTCCCTCTTGCCTCCCCAGAGTCCACCAACGTGGCTTTCAGCCTCACCATGCTGCTGGCCAGCCTCAGCAGCTGCTGCAACCCCTGGATCTACATGTTCTTCAGCGGGCACCTGCTCCAGGACGCCGCGCGATGCCTGCGCTGCCGGGGCGGCCCCTGGGCGGGGCTGCGCAGACCCGCCTCCACCGGGAGCCTCTGCAGCAGGAAAACCACCATCCTGAGCCACAGCCACCACGCCAGCCCTGCCAGCCTCCCCCTGCACGGGGGCAGTGCCAGGGAGCTGTACCCGCCCTGCGAGGAGGGGGTGACAGAGTCGGGCACGCTCTGAGATGCCGCGGTTACTGATGCCCGGGCACGTCCCTCCTCTGCCACACCAGACGTGACACCACGAGCTGTGTGTCACAGCGGCTCTCCCCCCCAGCTGGTAGCCTTCATTTTGCATAAATCTGATTGTTTAACCCAGAAAGCATCACTGTCCATCTTGTCCTTGCTGCTGCACACCCTGTGAGCATCGAGGGGGGGACGGACAGAGCCCCTCCAGCCATTGTCTGACCACAGCACCCACCCCTCGGGACTTTAGGGAGCCTCTGGCTGCTCTCCTCCAGGAAGAGGATGCTGCATCCTCCAGGAAGAGGATGCTGCACCAGCAAAATCTTCCTGGAGGGACTCGAGCTTTTTGTGTTTCACAGATGCCAGCAAAGCAGCCTGAGCACAGCAGGAGGCAACGTGGCTCCATCTGCTCGAGAGCTCCCCGTGAGTTCTCATCTCCCATCCTCAGGGCTTTGCTGGCCGAGCAGACAAGCAGGACAGAGCTCTGCCCCACCCTGGGGCACAGCACACTCACCCCTCTGGGCTGCAGAGCCTGTTCCTCTGCTCACGGGCACGTCTGGAGCTGACCCCCTGCCCATCTGTCCGGGGCCAGGGAGGGGCTGGAGCAAAGCCACGGGGCAGACACGTCCTCTCCTGCAGTTCACAGCTGTCCTGCATCGCACTGTGCCCGTCTGAGGGCCAAAAATGCAGCACTGACACCCCCAAGGAGCTGCTCGGAGCAGCCCTGGCCCCGCTCCAGCTCAGATCCTGCTTCCCTCTGATCCCATCAGGTTTACTCACAGCCCCCAACCCCCGTTTGGGTTTGCTCTGGCTGTTCAACATCTGCTGCATCCCAGTGCAGAGCTGCTCTCAAATTGCTGCTGCTTTTGTCTTATTGAGCAGGGATCAGGGTGCCAAAACCAGCCGGGGCTCAGACACGGCCTCAGGGAACTGGGGAGCACAGAGGAGGGGGGCTCTGGAGCAAGCCATGGCCTTGCAGTCCCAGCCTGGCCCCTGCTCTTCTCCCTGTTCATTGAAGGCATCCCAGAAGCTGTTTTGTGTAAGAATAAAGCATGATGAGGCAGGAAAGAGCATCCATTTGCTCTGGGAGCCGAGCTCAAAAGCTGCTGATGGTGATGTACAAACGTCCCAGCAAAGGTACCAAATCCCCTGCGAGCAATGTGTGTTATTCCTTCTGTTATCCCAGGCTAAATCTGTAAAAATAAGACATTAAGAGTAAAATATTTTGAAATCTTGAATTATTTTCCCTTTTTAATCACCAGGCACTTGAATCAAATTTCCCAGAAACTCCCACTGGCTGGTTTTGGCCTCACTTCCAGTTCCACATTCACACCTCCCCTGGCCTCTAGTGATGTTTCCCAGAGATGGGTTTGGGGTTTTGAACATTTTCCTTCATGTGCCCTTCAAGTTGGGCCAGATCTGCACAGCAAGGTTATAAAACCAGGAGTGCCTGACCCCCCCCTCCCATGATCAATACCCAATCAATTGTCTCACAACCTTTCATTAAAGCACTTTGCTGCCGAGCTGATTTGAAATGCACTTGGGGCAGCTCCATCCCTGAGGAAGGGGGGCTGTGCTGGGAGGCAGCAGCTCCATCCCCCTCACAAAGAGCTCCCAGCTCCACGCTCCCCCTTCCCAACGCTTTGGAATTTTATTTCTTTAATAATCCTTGGTAACAAAATGCAGAGTGAGGAGCAAGGACATCACCCAGGTGGGGAGAGGCCGACCCAGGCACTCAGGGCATCAGGTGCAGGGACAGAGCAGGGAAAGCAAAAGGTGGGAGACAGGGAACAGCATTCCTCCCCACCAGACACAGAGGGATTTGACTTGCCTACGCTCACGTGGAGAGCTGTGTCCTTCAAAACCCAGAAAGACCAGAACCCCCTGAGCAGGGGGGATATAAATCCCCTGGGAGCCCTTTGGATATTTCCCAGCTGGGTTGATGACTGTGGCTTTCAGCTGGGAGAGGAAGCTCCCCAGGTGAGCCTCCCTCCTGTCCTGGTCCTGGCAGCCCCCTGGATGTGTGGCCAGGGGTTAAGATGCCCACGTTGCCACCCCAACCCCAGTGGCAGCTCTGAGAGCGACGGGGACTTGGAAATATTTTGAGCATCAAAGCAAAGGGGGTGCAGGGAAGGGCAATGGATCAGGGCTTGGCAGGCAGCAAGGGCAACACAGGTGGAGAAACTGCATTTAACAAGATTTCATGAGGGTGATCAGCAAAACAAGCATCCTTCAGAGGAGCTGTCAGCCAGTCTGGGTGGGTATTTTGAAGATCACTGCATTTCCCTCCCTGAACTGTGTCCCATTTCGAGGGGCTGGGAGGGGGGATGTTTCATTTTCTTTCACAAAATGACAAAAAGGGCCATCACACAAAACTGGGGAGCACATCTCAGCCTGGGTGGGAGCAACAGTTCCATGCACCACCCCACGCTCCGGGAACAGCGATGCCTTTAAGTAAAATGCCAAGTAAACTGCATTCCTTGTGTGGCAAGCAATAAGAGCTGCAGGCATCAGCCTGTGCCAGGCACTGCCCGAGGGAAGGGGCAGCCCTGGTGGTGCAGCTGTGCATTGACCAGCAGCATCCAGGGTGTCACAGCTTCACCTCGGTGTACTCCACAGGCTGGGATGCCACGGGGCTGGAGCAGGGCCAGAGATGTGCTTTCTTCTTCTTGGGGTCCACGTTGACATAGTCAGTCCCAGTCTTCATGTTCTCGTAGTCCTGGGCAGGGCCTGGCCCACGGCCTTTCCCTGGGAAGACCAGGGCTGTGTAGTTGATGTTCCCTCCTGAGCCTTGGCCCTGCAGAAGCAGCACAAACCCCAGGTCTGGCACCAGCACCCCCCTGGGGGTCTTTGCCCTGAACCCACTCAAAGGTGTTCACCCCTTCATAGAATCATGGGATGGTTTGGGTTCAAAGGGACTTTAAAGCTCATCTCATTCCACCCCTGCCATGGGCAGGGACACCTTCCACTAGCCCAGGTTGCTCCAAGCCCCATCCAACCTGGCCTTGGACACTTCCAGGGATGGGGCAGCCACAGCTTCTCTGGGCAACCTGTGCCAGGGCCTCCCCACCCTCACAGGGAAGATTTTTTCCTAATATTCCTAATTTCCCTAACATGCCCAATTGTGCCCAAGGATCTCCCTGGCCCCTGGGGATGTTTCCCTCTAAAAGGGGAACGCTGCATGTGGCAGAGGACAGCCACCACCCCAGCACCCCTGATGGCATCTCAATATGATTTGATGCATTTCCCCCCCACCACCACCCCTGGTGCTGCTCTGGGGGTCTCGAGCCAGGCAGGAGCCACATGGACACAGTGCTGGCACCTCCACTGCTGGGCTGGGGCCGTTCTGGCAGAGGTTCTGTGCCCAGGGCTGTACCTGTGGGCAGGAGGGGCTGTCAGATGAGTCCTCCGAGGTGTCCGAGGAGGTGTCGCTGCTCCCTGAAACACAGGAGACATCACCACCAGCAGCCCTTCCCAGGGGGTTACAGGAGTGCAAACTGAAAATCCAAAAACCACCAGTGTGAGCCCTCCCCACCCCACCCCTGGCCTGTAGGGAACCAGGCAGGGAAAGCCCGGGGAGATACAGGAGGCAACTGGGCTGGTGAGTGGCTCTTGTGCCAGCCCTTTGCTGGCCACTTGCTCCCGTGGCCACCTCGGGGTCTTCCCAGCTCGGAAGGGAAGGCACATCACACAAATGCCAAGCCTAAAGTTCCCATCCCAGCACCAGGACAAAGCCCTGTGGCTGCAGGACCCCCTTACCTGCATAGGCTGGTGCTGGTTGTTGTGCCTTGGCCCCTCCTGCTGATGGAGTGGGATCCGGGGTGGGCTGTGCCATAGGGGCTGGATCCAGGGTGGGCTGTGCCACAGGGCTGCTGGATCTCTGCATCCCATGGGAATGCTGGGCTGGGACCAAGAGGAGAGTGAGCACCTTGCCCTGGCTGTGCCCGATGCACCCCACACCCCACACGGACCCCCACCCTCTGCAGGAGCCCCAGCACTGCCCCACAGCAAACCCCAGTAATTATTGCTGTGTGCTGGAGTGGGCACAGATCCGTCAGCTCGGTTATGGAGATGATTCAGTCGTGCCCTGCTCTGCAGGGAGAGGCTGCAGTGTTAAATCACAGCATCAGGGTCTCTCCTTGCGAGTTTGGAATGAGTTTGACCCCGGGGGCAAACAGGGCTGGGTTATGTACAAATGGGAGCAGGAGTTTTGAGTGAAAGACTTTCCTGCCGGGAAGTGGAGCTTCACCACAAATAATGTGCTGTCAATGGATTCTGGTGGGGTTTTCCCACCACTTCACTAACAAGAGCAATGAAAGAAAATGGTTTTGAAACAACCCAAGGTTTGTATGACCCTCACTGACGCTGCTCACATCACTTACAGCTCTCCCACAGCCTGGACCCCAGCACAGCACAGTGATGCTGGTGCTCCATCCCTGCCCTGACCCTTTCCCATTCCACACTGGGGCCCAACAAATGAAAAAAAAAAACCCAACAGGACAGTAAATTACCTATTTTCCTGCTGAGCATGAAGTAAAGTGACAGCAAGAGGAGAGCATACAGGAGCAAGGTGACAGCTGAGATGATGACAAATATCCACCTGAACAAGAGAAAAGTCTTATATCCAACTGAAATCACAAAATTCTTTTAAATCTCTCAGGTACTGTTTGGCTGCTGCTGATTCAAGACAAAAGGGTTGCTGGTAGTTTTTGAGTTTGCTTTTTGTCTTTAAGGCAACATGCCCCAAAATCTGGGGCTTGGTTTACAAGAATTACTGGTGTTCCTTGCACTTTATTTTTGGGTGCCTGTCCTCAGAAGGGTTCTTGAAACCCTCATTGCCAGTGACTGGGGGGGTGTGTGGTGCTTGAGGGAAGGGAGGAGTTACGGATATTATAGAATTATAGAATGTTTTGGGTTGGAAGGGATCTTAGAAGCTCATCCAGTCCAACCCCCTGTTGAGAAGGGACATCTTCAACTAGACCAGATGGCTCAGAGCCCCCCAGCCTGGCCTTGAATGTTTGCAGGGCTCCTCTCCCAGGGTGTTGTACTCACCACTCACAAGAGATCATTCTCCTGGTGAGGCGTCTCCGAGGTCTTGGGGGGGACACAGAAAGGCAGCAAGACCTGGTGGCAACCAACCAAAATGGTCCCACTGAGCTTCACGCTGCTCCTCACGAGCTGAAGATCAGGCTCAGCACTTGAGAGAGGTGGTTGGACATTGCAGATGTAAAATAAAGGCCCCCAGCCCTCCCTCTGCTTGAGTCCTCCTTGTTCACACCCTCACACGGCCACAGGCTCTCCCTGCCCTTATCACTGAGCTTAATGGCTTTATAAACTGTCACCTCAGTCCTTTCTGCTACTTGACAGGAGCTCCCAGGCTCCACTGTGGCCCTGGGAGCAACAAGAATTGAAATTTATTCTTCTCGCTTTAATCCTCTCTCGTGGTTCCTTCTTTCTTTTTTCTCTTAATCCACCAAAAAAAAAAAAAAGAGAGAGAGCTATAATCTGAAAAAAAAATAAAAAACATAGAATAAAGTGACCAAAAGAAGGCTGTGGGTTGGTGTGAGGCTCTTGCATCAGTCAAGGTCCAGACAGAAATATCAGAGGCCCTTCAACACCTCTCTGTCTGAGACACCTCGGATTTAATTCTAGGTGAGCACTTAAATCCTGGTGAAGTTGAGAGGGTTTAAGGCAGAAAATCAGAAAACACAAATGCCTGAGCTGGGCCCCTTGGCTTGGGGCTTTTGGCCATAACACTCCGGAGATTTATAATAAAGGATGGCAATCCAGGTGTTCATTTTGTGAGCTTTCACTTGCATAAAGTCACTTCAAATTTTCACTCAGTGCCTCTAAACTCTCATTTATAAGTGGCTGACAGGGAGAGATTTCAGCTGAAGCTTTGATACAGTGATTAAAGAAGCCATGATGATATGGCTGATGGACTGACAGATTGATAGTTACAGCAAAGGCATTATCCATCCTATGGATCAGATTCTATCATTTCCTCTATGACACGTTTCTCAGTGTAATTCATCAAAAGCTTTTCTGATAACCACCACTCTCCTGTGAAGTCCCACTTACCCAAACAGTCTGGCAACAGCCAAGCTAAAAGCCCATTCCTTGCTGGAATCTTCCCCCTCCCTTATTAAACTGCTCTGTCCCCAGATATCCTTCTCAGGGGGCTGCCATTCTTAAAAGGCTCATTTCCTACCGAGGGGCAGGAGATGCTGCTGTGGCAGATAACGATCTGAAAAGCGAGCTGCTCAAAAGGAAATTGCAAAATAAGACCCAAATCCAGCTCTCAGTGGCAGGCAGGCTCTTTGCTGAGCTGGGCACGGCGAGATGGAAGCGCCGATATGCGAACGCGTTATCGAAATCTCTATTTGGAGAGAGCAGCCAGCCAGAGCCCGGCAGCACATGTACTTTTTTGGGTCTATCAGGTAATTTCTGTGGGCCTCCCACCCTCCAGCCCCTCAGGACATGCACCCTTTTCAAGCAAGGCGCTGTGTTGGAATCAAGGCCTGCAAAGAGCTGCTCCTCGGCCGCTTGCCGAGAGGTCAATGCAAGACATCTACACTCCATCTAAAGGTAAGAAAACCCACCAGAACGCCTCAAATTGTTTTAATCCCATCAGAGTCAGGCCTTGCTGGCCCAGTTAAAGGCCAAAGCTCAGCCTGGTGGTGGCACATGCCTGCAGGCACCCTTGGAGGTGGACGCCCAACCCAGCTCTCCTCCTGCCGTTCCAATGCCCGGCGGAGTGCGATATCCAGCGGTGATTTACCTGGGGCAGCGGAGCTCTCCACACCTCCTTTCCTGCAGGACTGGGGCAGCTGGAGCCTGGGAGGCAGCAGGATCTAAGGATGTTTCAGCAGCATTTTGGGTGCAGCCGCAGGGTCCGGCGGCTCAGAGCGCTCGCCAGCTCGGTGCCGGATGCGGTCACGCTCTGCCCCCCTGCTGATGGCAGGGACGAGCCCACATGAGGTTCCATGACGCCTCCCCGCTGTCAACTGCCTCATTTAAATATATTTGGGTGTTTCTCTGCTGTTCTGCAACCACTTTGCTCCAGGGTTTGGGACCCTGCGCTGCTTGACCGGGTTCTGCGTCTTGCTCCGTCTTCCAACAGCTTTGTGCTAAAACGCAGCTGAGCTTCCTTGGAGCGGAGCAGTCCTGAGGGCAGGGAGCCAGCTGCAGTCCCCAGCAACTCAGCTGCCACCCAAAAAGTGCTCTGGGTGCTTCCAGGTAAAACATCTTGCACAGGGATAAAATATTTTACCTCGTGGGGATGTGGTCCCAGCACCTCGCATGAGGGTGGATGGGCCTCCACCTGCCCACGCTCTGGGAAGTTTTCTGGCTCAGGAATAACTTGCAGCATCACTTAATAATGATGGGGTGCAAGCAGCAGCCTGACAGACCCCTCTTGATGGTTCCCACCAGATTTAGGGAGGGCTGGGCCACTGCTCCATGGGAACTGATGATGTTGCAGCTCTCACACTGAGCCAGAGTTTAGGTGCTGGGAATTCCCTGCAGCAGCCTGGCCTCTCTTGTGCTTTTTCCCTGGAAGGAGACAGGTCAGGAACCCTTTTTGCAAAGTCCCTAATCATGGGGATGGCGCCTGCTGGCATTTCACCATCTCCATCACCCCCACAGCAATCCTCTCCCGGGGAGAAAACATCCCAACATCCCCGTGAATCCCCTGGACCTTCTAAAGGCAAAGAGAAGAACAGATCCCAAGAAGAACTACATACCCCAGGAGCTCCACCACAAATTGGGGTGTCCTGCCACATCCCCGCCATGGGTCAGTCATTTCCCACATGCCCCCTCATCCCCTGGGACTGCAGGATCATCAGCTCCCTCACCAGGAGATGTTAGTCCTGCTCTACCCACGACTGCTGTGCCACAGGTAAATATTTAACTGAAACTGGCTTGTTTGTTGGGTTTTTTTTAATGTGAGTGTTTGCTATTGCAGCGTTTCTCTCTTTCAAGTGCTCCTGATGGATAAACAGATTAACAGGTGGGAGAAGTGTTTGATAAACGGAGAAAAAAAAAAAGGCCTTTTTAGAACACGCTGCTTGGGCACGATTTGAATCAGCCAGAGCTCGCAGTGGAAGTGGCTACACTAAAGGAAATGCATAAAAAGGAACACAGATAACATATTTTTAGCCTCAAAGCAGGTTTCTTGCATGAGGAAAGCTCCATACATAGAGCTGGCAAGAGGTGCCTTTTACACCCAAGGTGCACAATGTAATTCTGAGGCACCTGAGGGCAGGTTTGTGCAGCTGAGAGGGTGAGACACACCTTGGGACAGCCCCTGCCTGGCAGCAGTGCAGGGCTGCACAAATATCACCAGACCTGGGATGCTCCAGGAGCTTGAGCCACCTTTAATCACATTTCTTTGGGGTGTAAGAGCTTTTTCTGCTGTTTTATTAACAAGATGGATTCAAAGTGTCGTAAATAATGCTAAATAGTGTCATAAATAATGCTGTGTTTGGCTCTGTCACTCTGGCCTGCGTCCCAGGAGCAGGCAGGGATGGGCAGCACAGGCAGGGACAGGCAGGGATAGGCTGATCCTGAAGAGTTGAGGGGCACCATGGGTTGAAAACAGGACGTCTCTTCCCCCTGCAAACCCAGTGTATTCCAACATATTGAGGTACAGCTGAAAGTACACATGAATCAAAGCCTTTCTGTCCCAGTTTTCTGGGCAAATATGGCCGAGTTGCTCCCAAAAGACAGAAAAAACCCACCCATTTTGCTCCACTTGAAATAAAAACGTTGGTGCACCTTTGAGAATTCAGCTCTTAAAATTCCTTCTAGAATAGCTAAAAAGTAGAAATAATTTTGCTTCACTTCAAAAATTTCTAAGTGAAAGGTCTGGGCCCTCTTTATGACTTTCATCTTCGCATTTTCACGCTGAATCCGCTGTTAGGAGTTTGCAGATTATGATGATCCAATTGGGGAATCTTTTGAACAAAATAAACCATTTCACTGCAAGTATTTGGCGTGTCTGTGCTACAGCTCACCCTCACGTTTATCTCTGAAGCCCAGTGACCCTTCAGGCTGGGTTTTCTGACAGGATTTTCGGGTTATAAACCATGTCTGGAACAATCCACTTGCCGCTTTCAGCTGATCTGGCACTTGCTGCAGCTGCTTTTGTTTTAGGAAGTTTCTTTTTAATCCATGAATATATGATTAGGACGAGAGGGGAAATACATTAAATACATAAAGTACGTTAAACTGCATCTTAAAAGGGAAACACATAATCACTTGGTCTAAAGCTACTCAGTGAAAAAACACTTCAGCCACCAATCTGGGCACAGGGAAATGCAGGGAATTTTCATTTGACTGGGAAAAATATGGCAGCATCTGCCATCAGCATCCACTCTGCCTTGCCCTGCATCTCCCTGCTTATACCAAAAAATTTGATAAGATTTTTTTAAGCTTAATCTCCCTGCAAAGCTGCGGAGAGGAGGAGCCTTGGAGCATCTCCCAGGGGCAGAGACACAATTCCCCCCAAACAGGAGACACAGCTTGGCTCTCTCACAGCCCCATTGGTACCTGGGCCTCACAGGTATGGACTTGGATTTCCTGGAGGAGGGCTTTAATTGGATAAAACAGACTAACTGGGATAGATAAAAAATTGATTAGCACAGTGCTAAGGGTAGAAACCCCATTAAAGAGTAAAACACCTGAGTAAAACACCCCCTTTGTGGCCCCAACCATTAGTGCCACAAACATGGAAAACAAGGACAGCACAGCATCATCCCTGGCCCGGGAGATGGTGGCAGCAAGAAAACCCTTTCCTCCCCCCACTCGCTTCCCCACTCGCCTCCCCTCATATCTAAAGGCTTTATTTGTTCATCAGCATTTTCTGTTTGCACTCAGAGGCTTTAATGAGATGCCCGTCCCGGGTTAAACAAAACTCACAGGGGACGAGCCCATTAGTGGCTGTAAAGCAACAGGGAACTGTCTCCCATGAAAAGCCACTTCTTCCTGGCACCGACTGCTGTTTAAAAGGGAAAGCTGGAGATTCCAGAGCAGTCCATCACTGCTAATTAGTGTTTTCTTTTTAGTTTGGTGGCTGCCCTGATGCTACAAACGCATCCTTTTCCTGTGCTCCCCGCAGCTGCCGGGGTTTGGGGCACCCCATGGCCACGGGCAGGTCCCTGGGGTGGAGCTGTGGGGCAAAGGAGAGGGGAAACGCTCCCCCAGAGCATTTTGGGGGGACTTCCACTGGCTGTGTGATTGCCAGCGGGCAGGGACTGCTGTTGGGATGAGCGCCCCGTCCTGCTCCCGCTTCCCTAAGACCTTCCCTGCCCCAAAAGCAGCCGGCACGGCTCCCTGCAGGTCCCCCCCACGCCTCCCTCACCCACAAAAGCAAACCTGACCCCGCAGTGCCCGTTCTGCCTCGCCTGGGACGTGGCCAGTGATTCATGCCCGGTGCCCGAGCGCGGTGTTGACTCTGGCAGGGGCGTTATCGCGGGCGCCGGGCGGCCCTGGGGGTATAAGAACAACCTGCAGAGCCCAGCGAGGCCACTGAGCCGCCAGCATGAAGCGCCTCCTCCTCCTCGCCATGCTCTGCCTCTCCCTGGCCAGCGGCCTGAAAAGGTAAGGGGGTCCCCGAGCTGCACCCCAGTTCCCCAGGCTCTCGGAGGGGCTTTGCTCTTTGGGTGCTGCCAGAGCCGTGATGAGCGGGCAGAGCTGAGCTGCCCCGGCACAGACACCTCGTGCTGGCACCACACTGTGGTTTCTCACATCGCTCAGTGGGCTCCATCCCTCTGGGCAGACCCCGTCAGCAGCAGTGGGATGAGGTGGGGTCTGTAAACAGGGTCTGTGCGGGCAGACAGGGCAGAAAACACTGGCATGAATTCCCCTTGGCCCTGCTCACCTCTCCCAGCCTGAAGGCCCTTTCCATCAGTCACGTTGAGCTCCTGCCCGTCCTGCCCGTCCCGCCACTGCCAGGACGTGCATCCTCTCCTGCCAGCTTTGCCCTTGATTTGCTGCCTCCTAAAACAGACCCAGTCCCCCCGTTCAGCTGTGCCTCGGCCAGAGGGCTCTGCAGTGGGGGATGTGGGGAAACAGGCTCTGGACCTGCATCCTGGCTGTGCCGGGACCCTCAGGGTGGGCACGGGGGCTGCAGGACTCCAGCAGCACCCACGGCCCCGTGTGAGTGACCAGGACCCTTCTCCCCCAGGGTGCCCCTGACGCGGCGCCGCTCCCTGCGGAAGCTGCTGCGGGAGCGTGGGCAGCTCTCCCACTTCTGGAAAGCCCACGGGCTGGACATGGTGCAGGACAGCGAGGACTGCGCTGCCTTCTCAGAAGCCAACGAGCCCCTCATCAACTACCTGGATGTAAGCAGGGCACAGGAGTTTGCCTGAGCAGTCCCCAGTGCTTCCCAGAAATCCCACGCCCGCAGCAGTGCCCGGCGTGCCAGGACTCGCTGCCTGCCCGTGCCTGCCTGGCCCTTTGTTCCCGGGAATGTGGCGATGAGGACAAGGCAGAGCATTCACGGCAGGCACTGCCAGCCCTCTCCCTCCCTGCTGCATTCCCCCCACCCACAGGGAGACAGATTTCCTCCAAAACTGACTCGTTACACACTCGTCAGAGCAAGTCCCACCACAGAGGACCCAGAGGTGGAGGGGCTTCCCCAGGCTCATCCCATTCTCCAGCAGTGCCCCCACAGCCCCTTCCTCTGTCTGCATCCCGGTGATGAGGGTCTCCTCAGGGCCCAGCCTTCCCAGGAAGAGGATGGAGCCTGCACCCACCATCCTGCCTTTTGTCCTCAGCTTCCCTCGTTGTCCCTTAAATATTTGTCTCCTTTATTTCACCCGGCACGATGTGACTGTGATAGAACCCCATCCACACCCTGTGGTCACCCCACCACAGGCTCCCCTTCGCCAGAGTTTCTTGGTGTGCTGCCAACTCACGGTGGTCCCTGCTCCACTCTTTGCTAGATGGAGTATTTTGGGCAGATCTCCATCGGAACTCCCCCCCAGAACTTCACCGTGGTGTTCGACACGGGCTCCTCCAACCTCTGGGTACCGTCCGTCTACTGCGTCAGCAAAGCCTGTGGTGAGTACAGTCAGACCAGTGAGGCCACGGGGTCACCAGCACACCCAGCTGAGCCCTTTGGGGACCCTCCCCACCCAGCTGAGCCCTTTGGGGACCCTCCCCACCCAGCTGAGCCCTGCAAGGCACACACAGATAACAGAAACCTGGGGGGCAGGCGGGGGAGCCCCAGTGGGTGTGTCTGCCCAGGAGTGGGTGGTGATCACACCACCAGGACCCAGGTGACAATGGCCATGTTCTTTAGGCCGTTCTTGTGGGAGCCTTTAAACAAACAGGCAGAGATGGTAGTACAGAATGCAGCTTGTCAGCAAGGGGCAGGGTGGCAGGAGTGGGAAGGCACAACTCTGGGCTGGCTGCCCGGGGGCTCGGTGGGTGACAAGCACTGGGCTTGTTTGGGCTGTCAGCGATGAGCCAGTCCTGCTGCTGCAGCTCCAGGGCTGCCCCAGAGCCCAGGGGGAATTGGGGAATATCACTGGATGCTGCAGTGCCCATAGGGCTGCTCCTGGCTGCAAACCAGGAATAGCAGTGCTCATCTTCGGGACTCATAAAAACACCACACGAGCTAATTCCGCTCCTCTACCAACCCTGGCACCTTTCAGTCAGATTGAAATGGGATAAGTTTTATCCCTCCTCAAAACTCCAGCACAACCCTTGGCAGTGTGCCCGTGACCAGGAGTTTCGGTGACACCACCCTCCACCATCAGTTGTCTCCACTGGCCTTGGGGGCTCCTGGCAGCTGTGGCCGTGCAAAAAAATCACATTTCTGCTGACAGATCCCATCTCCTTCCCCAGCTGGACACGCCAAGTTCCATCCGACACAGTCCAGCACCTACCAGGTGATAGGGACCCCCTTCTCCATCCGGTACGGGACCGGCAGCCTGACGGGGCTCATCGGATCCGACCAAGTAGCCGTGAGTCACCTTTGGCTTCTCCTGCTCTGGGCAACTTGCCTGGCACATGCCCACGGACTCAGCACCCCCGTGGAACCCCCTCCTCCCTGCAGGTCGAGGGTCTCACCGTGAGCAACCAGCAGTTTGCAGAGAGCATCAGTGAGCCGGGAAAAGCCTTCCTGGACGCCGAGTTCGACGGGATCCTGGGCCTGGCTTACCCCTCGCTGGCCGTGGACGGCATCACTCCTGTCTTTGACAACATGATGGCACAAAATCTGGTGGAGCTGCCCCTGTTCTCCGTCTACATGAGCACGTACGGGCACAGCCTTGCTCCGGGATGCTGCTTAGAGCCTGTCATTGCTTGAGGGAACAGGAGGGCCTGCTAAAATAGAGCTGTTTTACTGAGCTAGTGAAGGGGGTTTGGTGCCAGGCTGAGCATCACAGACCTTTGGCCTTACAGGGATAGCATTTGTGGGGAGCAGGCAGGTGTAAATCCACCCATTTAAAATGTTATTTGCAAAGTTAACGGGGAAAAAATGCCTCATGGCTTTTCCTCCTCCCTCCAGGAACCCCGAATCCCCCCTGGGAGGAGAGCTGCTTTTTGGGGGGTTTGACACATCCCGCTTCACAGGGACCCTGAACTGGGTGCCAGTGACCCAGCAAGGGTACTGGCAGATCCAGCTGGACAAGTGAGTGGTGCTGGACAGGGAGGGAAGGCTGGGCTGGGGGGGGGAGGAGCAGGACAAATCCCTCTTGGTCCTTCTCTCTCACCTCTTCCAGCATCCAGGTGGGTGGGACAGTGACCTTCTGCGCCGACGGCTGCCAGGCCATCGTGGACACCGGGACATCGCTCATCGCAGGCCCCACCAAGGAGGTCAAACAACTGCAAAACTACATCGGTGCTGCGCCTGTGGATGGAGAGGTGAGAGGCAGGGTGGGGAGAGGAGGGGGCAAAGCCCTGGGAGCCCCAGCCTGCCTGGAGTGACCTCCCTGCTGCGTTGCAGTACGCCGTGGAGTGCAGCAACCTCAGCGTGATGCCCGACGTGACCTTCACCATCAACGGGCTCCCCTACACGCTCAGCGCCCAGGCTTACACCCTCATGGTATGGCTGTGGCACCACCACCCCCCATTCCCAGCAGCTCCAGTGACACAGGTGGCCCAGAGCCACGCTGGGAGCTGAGTCCGGTGTCCCAGTGGGTGACAAGCCCCACTGCTCCGTGCTTTGTCACCGTTCCTGCAATGTTTCCGTGGGCACGAGGCTCTTGGGCTCATTGCCAGCTTTGCCCTTCTCCTCCCCCAGGAGGAAGGTGGTGGTGTGACCTTCTGCCTCAGCGGCTTCCAGGGCAATGACATCCCCCCTCCGGCCGGACCCCTCTGGATTTTGGGCGACGTTTTTATCCGTCAGTTCTACTCCGTCTTTGACCGTGGGAATAACAGGGTGGGGTTGGCCCCTGCTGTCCCTTAGGGCTGGGGCATCCTGTGGGGTAGGAGGGGAACAGAGCCACCAGGATGCTGCCCTCGGGCAGGCCAGGGGATGTCACTGCTGCATCGGTGTCCCCAAGGGGGTGAAGACACCTGAAGAGCCCAGCAGAAGGTCAGTCCACGCCAGGACACAATTTCACAGTGAACATAAAAACATCTCGAGCAGCTCCGTGATCTGCTCTGTAGATTCTGTATTTTTTAAACATGAGCCAATAAAAGCTTTAATAAACCAAAACCTGCCCTGTTTGTGTCATCAGGAGCCCAGCAGTGACCCTGTGGGTCTCAACTGGGTTGCACTGGGGTGTTAAATCCTCCTCCCCCAGATCCTGCCCTCCTCCCTCGGTGACCCGTGGCACTGCCAGGGCTGTATGTTCAGTGTGGCTGGAGCTGCCCTGCTCTGGAGGGAACCTTGGCAATGCAGGATCCAAAAGGTCAACCTCGTGATCCTTAGCTGGGATTTCCACAGGGGCAGAAAGAAGAGGATGCTCTGCCCAGGTGGAGGTGGCTGTGGGCATCCCTGGGCATCCCGTGGGCCTGAGGCCACCACTGTGGGCAGGGGCAGGGACTGAGGGAGCCCTGGGAATGCACACCTCAGTCAACTGAGCTGCTGCTGGTAAACGAGAAGGGAACAAGGAGACTGGAAAGACCCTGGGGCTCTTCCTGTGCCATAAAACTTCCAGAAAAACCGGTGATTCCCAGCGAACTTTCCTTTGATTCCCTGGAGGAACTTACAGAGACAACATGGCTGGTGGGTGCTCAGCAAAAGAAAGGGCAAAGCACCTGCAGAGATCTGGGCTGGGCTGTGGGGGGCTGTGGGGTCCAAGGAGTTGCTGCAGCACATGTGACTCACTGAGGGTGCAAGGGATGTGTGAGAAGGCAGGAGCAGCCGTGGCTCATGCGTGAGACACCCCAGGCACACAGCGAGAAAGGGAACAGTGGAAAAGGGTTATTTTTATCCAGACCTTTGCTCCGTTTGCTGACACTGAAACAAGGCCCTGCAGCGCTGACTCCAGGGTGACAGGGTGTCCGTGTGTCAGACCAGGCTTCGTGGCTGCTCCATCATTCCCAGGGTTGGGTCTGAGAGCGCTGGAATACTCGGAACTGGTTGTAAACTTGGCGGCTCAGCCTTGTGGTTTGCAATAAAAGAAGATATCTGCCTTACTCAGAAACACTGATTGTGCCACTGACCAAGTGTGGGTTCTGTAACGTTTCCTGTGTTGACTTCACCTCAGCTCTGCTGCAGTCAAAGATAAGGTGTTGGGGCAGCTGGACAAAGGTCTCCTCTCCCTCTTCCACCTTAACTCTTAGCACGCCAAGGTGCTGCTGGGCACCAGCCCATCACCACAACCACAGGCAGGGGGGAGCATCCAGCCCCCCAGCCTGACAAGGGACCACCCAGAGTCCCCAAACAGCAGCTGGCACTGAGACATGGCCCGGCCTGGACTTCACCAGAACTGCTCTGGTGCCATGTGCCCTTGGGATCCCAGAGCATTCTTGACAGGTTTTGAGGGGGATGTTGCTCCAGAAAATACTAAGCATCCCAATAAGGAGCAACCCACCTCCTGCTGTCCCCCAGGGAGGCTGAACAGCGTAAGGAGCAGTTTCATCACTCGGATGCCTTTTGCTTTCTTCCCTTTCCCTCACTCTCCCAGCCCCGTGAGCATCACCACAGAGAACAGCCCGTGCCCTCCCTGTCCACCCCAGCCTTTCCTCTGCCTGTGGCAGCCCCCAGCCTGTGTTTCGTGGTCTCCCAGCTGCGAGACCTTCCTCATAGTCACAGGGCACCAACCCCAGCCTTTTCCTCTGAATTGCTGACGTGGTGGAGCAACCAGGACAGCACTGAAGCTGTGGTTGCTGGAGCTGCTGAGCCACATCTTGCCCATCACCTCCTCCACACCACTGCCTTCATCCAGGGCGAATCTCACCCCAGGAGAGCAAAAGCTTTGGAAAAATCCTGTTTCTTGCAAAATCAAACAAAAGCCAGAGCTGGCTCTGAGCCTGGGCTGGGCACCCTGATGGGCACAGCCCTCCTGCCCAAAAGCAGAAGTGGCTGAAGGCACCAGCTGTGGCAATGCAACCACAAACCCCATCTCCACTGGTGCAGAGGGGCATCGATCATCTGACTGGGTGAGCAACCCCCGTCCCACCAGGACATGAGAGAGGAACGAGGGCAGAAGTTGCTGAGGGGGAGGCTGAACAGTAAAGTCTCACTGCAAGGACAAAGGTGAAGCAGCACGATGAAAATAGGCTGAAAACAGGGATTAGGAGAGATCTGCTGCAGGGAAACATCAGCCTTTTACCCACCACCAGTGAGAACTGGCTCAGGTGCTTCTGCCTCATCCCAGCTCCTCCCAGTGCCTGCCCTCTGGGGGAAAAACCAGATTTTTCTGGCCAGACAGGTCCCAGAATTACATCTGGGGAGGAGGAGGAGGGTTTGTCCTGCTGAATGCAGCAATATTCCCTGAGATCCCATAAGGGATCTCTATACTGGAAAAAAAATAACCTACAAAAATGAGGGCAGCCAGTGGCAAAACAAAAGCTGGTGGTCTCAGAGAGCCCCCGTGCCTGGGTCCCTCTCAGGTCACCAGCAAACACTGGTTCAGGGTGAGGGAGCCAGGAGGGTTCACAAGATGGGGGGACACCCCACTCCCACTGCTAACCCCAGATCCTACAGAATGTTTGGCAAAAGCTCAGGACCTGCCCTTGCACGTTGGGAAGCACAGCTCTGCCTTTGCAGCCAGGGCCAAGCAGGTTTTCCCACTCCAAAAAAAACGTGGGCACCAGCCTGGTGCTCAGGGAAACAACCAGAGGCTTCCTCTGTTGCTCCATGGTGGCAGCTGAGATCCTAAAATCCCACTTGCCAGTTGAACACTTCCTCCTCCAGGAGATGCCACCAGGTCTGGTTACTGGGGCTCTCTCTCATCCTGGCACGGTCCCCTCCTTTTGGGATGCTTGGATATCTGGCTGGCTGTGGATGCAGGGTGGGAGCCCCTATGGAATGGGGGTTGCAGGGATACAGCACGAGGTGGAAACGCTCCTGCTTCCCACCCTGCCCCTCTCCTGCCTGAAAAACGAGATGAAGATACAGAGAGCTCCCAGCCCCCTCAAATAGATCCCACACCCCCCCTCACCTGCCACGGTCCTCCCTCTGTCCCCAGCTCCCAAATCCGCTTATCCCACCCCGCACTATCAGAGCCGCCCGAGCAAAGTCCGGGATGGCTCCCGGGATGCTGCCGAGAGCTTTTCCAACCCTCGACAACCCCCTCGGCAGGAACGCAGATAAGGGGTCCCGCGGAGGTGGGTGAAAGGTACCGGGGGGATTCTGAGCAAGAGGAGAGGCCAAAAGTCAATCCCAAACTCCAGCGGACGAGGAGAACCTTGTTCTCCTTCCCCTGCCGGACCCCGAGCCGGGGTGGCTCGGCAGAGCCCCGGAGCCGAGGGCAACTCCGCTGCCATCCCAGCGCCCGCCCGCGGCTCCTCCGCCAGCCCCGGCAGGATCTCGGCCCCTTTCTGCTGATGTCACGGAGCGGGGCCCCGCAGACGCCTTCTTTCCTGGATCCTCCTCTCTCGCCTCTCCCCTCCCTGGGCCGCCGGCTGGAGCGGAGCCCAGAGCCTCGGCTGCCCGGCCGACGGATGCCCCGGCAGGTGAGTGCTCTGCCCTCCGGTCCCTCCGGCCCCCGGGATGCAGCTGAGACCCCCCCCCCCGGAGCAGGAAAAAAAAGTTTGGAAAACTCCATTTTGAGTTTAAAACCATCCGGCCTCCGAGGAAGCTGGCAAAAGGACTGGGAAGAGAATGCGTGCTGAGACATGAGGCTCTGCCTGTGCCCGGGATGCTGCCCACGGCCGGGCTGGGGTGGCAGAGGGGTGCAGGGGGGCCTGGACCCCACAGCTGAGACCCGCCCTGGCAGGGGGGGTGTTCCAAGGGGGAATGGCGAAGGGCTGGCCAACGCATCGGGGAAAAATGCAGGGAAGAGGCTGCCAGCGTTTCCATCCGTGCCTTGGCCGGCGCGGTGCCGGGCGGTGCCTTGAGGATGGGGCTGCTGGGAGTGCCGGAGGATGCTCATCCCGCCTGGGGAGGGGGTTTGCTGGAGGTGCTCAGGGCTCCTGGCCAGGCACAGAGCATGTGAGGACACCAGGACATGCTGGGATGCAGCCCGAGGGGAGCCTTTCAGGGTGCTCCTGGGCTGGGATGCTCCCTGGGCTGTGCTTGGGGCACCCGAGGAATTCCACCAGGTTGGGGTCTTCTTTAATCAATGTAATTTTCTGCAGGATCCCCATTGTGCACCAGGTGTGTGTGCCAGGTTTAGGGGGAGGGACTGTGCTGGAGAAGCAGTGGGAGAGGCAGGGAAGTTGCTCCCAGCAGCTTTGAATGGAGATGAACTGGCGTGTCTGGACGTGCAGCGGCACCTCGGGAGCTCGTCACAGGCAGTGACGTGGGCTCGTCATGGGAGTTTCTGTCCCCACCATGGCTGGGACATGAGTGCAGTGGGGTGGTGGCACAGCACAGACATGGCATGGACACAGTGCTGGAATGGCATGGACACGGTGCTGGCACAGTGCAGACATGGTGATGTCCGTGGTGCCGGGATGGATGGGGAGCATGGAGAGGCCACAGGGAGCAGTGGCTGCTCCCACACCTCACCAGGAGCCAGTCCCATCCCCACAGCTGAGTGACTCCGTCTTGTCCCACAGGGCCCGTCCATGGATGCCAGCAAGAAGGTGGATTTGAAGATAATCATAATTGGAGCTCTGGGGTAAGGAGCAGTGCTTGTGAGGGAGGAAAGCCCCCTATGTGGGCTGGGTTATGCAGCCCCTGCTGTGACTGACCCCCTGAGCAGTGCAAATCCTCACCAGTGTCCCTTTGCCCCCTGCCAGCGTGGGCAAAACCTCCCTCCTGCACCAGTACGTGCACAAGACGTTTTACGAGGATTATCGCACCACGCTGGGTGCCAGCATCCTGACCAAGGTCCTGGCGGTGGACAACACCCCCCTGAAGCTGCAGGTGAGCAGGGCTGGCACTGCCTGGGGTGCCCACCCTGATCCCACGGGCATGTGTGTCCCACCACGTCCCGCTGTCCCCAAACGCCTCCTGGTGTCACGCGGTGCGGGGACGGATTTGCAGAGCCCGATTCGCAGCATCCGTGAACTATGGTGGAACCCCACTGGAGTTTGGGAGCTCAGCACTCCCTGAAGCTGGTCCCCTGAGCTTAACAGAGCACAGGGCTGCAAACACCCACCCTGCTCTCGTTGTGTGTCTGTACCTGTGCCCTTCTCTGCCCTAGATCTGGGACACGGGGGGACAGGAGCGATTCCGGTCCATGGTGTCGACCTTTTACAAGGGCTCGGACGGCTGCATGCTGGCCTTTGATGTGACAGACAGGGAGTCCTTTGAGGCCCTGGACAACTGGAGAGATGACTTCCTGGAGAAGGTCATTCCAAGGGAGCAGGATTTCCCCATGGTCGTGCTGGGGAACAAAATAGACCTCTGTGATCGGCAGGTGAGGGTGGAGAGGAGAGAGAGAGGGATGAATGGCCCAGGGCAGGGGTGGAGTCACCATCCCTGGATGGATTTAAAAGCTGTGTGGATGTGGCACGTGGGGACACGGTTTAGTGGTGGGCTTGGCAGTGCTGGGTTAATGAATGGACTCGATGATCTTACAGTCTTTTCCAACCTAAATGATTCCATGATTGGAATGCCTTAGTGTCCTAATGGCTTATGAGCGCTGATCCTCCACCTGCAGAACCTGCCTTCTCCCTTTTGCTCACATGAAAACCAGGGCTCCAGGCAAGGAGCTGCCACCTCCCCCTTGCCTCTTGCAGGGGATAAGCAGCGTCCCTCCACTGCCCTTTGACAGAGACTGTCACTGAAGGCAGCAGGGATTACAATATCAGGCAGCTGCCTGCAGTGCCAGCACCCTGCCCTCACCTACATGGGTGAGGAGGGTCCCCTGTTCCAGCTCTCCAGCAGCCACAGGCATCCCTGTGAGGTGGCTCCATCCTCCCTTCCCACAGGTACCCAAGGAAACTGCCTCAGCCTGGTGCAAGGAGAAGGACATCCCTTATTTTGAAGTCAGTGCCAAGAACAACATCAACGTGGCAGAGGCTTTCGAGACCCTCGCGAAGCAGGCGCTAACGACGGTGAGCATCGCTCCTGCTCCAAGCCTGTGCTGGAGGCAGGAATTCGGGTGGGGAGCTGGAATCAGCCGGGACTGGTCTGACAGACCCCCCCCCAGCCCACCCTCTGGTGTGGAACAGCTCCTGCTGTAACGAGTAGGAGAGCCCTGGGAATGAGAAATGCATCAGTGTTTGATTTCTTAAAATAGATCCTAAACCGGTTAGAAAGGAGTAAGAATTGTTTCCCTTTGTGGGTGTGTGGCACCCACAGCGCGCCAGCACTGTCCTCTAGCGGCCATCTAACAGGGACATTCGTGTCCCCACGCCCTGCACAAGGTGGCTTTTCCCTGGATTTTGCCTTTAATCCCAAATCAGGACCGAACCTCGGCACTCCACAGTCTGTCAGGCTGCTCAGGCTGGCTCTGAGCTGAGTCCACTCATCCTTTCTCTTCTCGATTTTTTTCCAGTACAAAGGGATTTTTGAGAGTTATTTAACTGACTCCATCAAACTCACTCCCTATGACAAGCCCAAGAAGAGCTGCTGCTGACCCCGGGCACTGCCCACACTGGACCCCACAATGCCCACGGCCGGAGCCCCTCCCAGGGGTCTGTGCCCCGTGCCCATCCCAGGGACTGTCCAAGCCAGGGCACAGCAGGACCAGCCCTGGACACACCGGGGCCAGCTCACTGTGCACCCCAGGACTTGCTGCTTCCCACGGCTCTCCTGAACCAGCAAATCCCAAATTGCTGCTGTGTCACGGTGGTCTAATCCCCCTGGATCTGCTGTCATCTGGCACCCGAGCAGGCAATGCCCCTGTGGTGATGGTGCCAGTGGTGACAGTGCCAGTGCCCCTGTGGTGACGGTGCCAGTGCCCCTGTGGTGATGGTGCCAGTGCCCCTGATGCCTTTCCAGAGACCACGACCTCGGCCCCAGGGCTGTCCCTTCCCAGTGCATGGGCTGGTGGCCCCACGGCTCTCACGGTGCTCACGGGGGGGACATGTGGGGCTGGTGGCCTTGACACAGGGCTGACAGCAGCTGGGTCCCCTCCTGGGATCAGCCACGGAGGAGGCAACTGTTCTGTGCCTCAGTTTCCCCTCCATCAAACACCTTCCACTCCCACCCCACCCAGGGAGGATCCTCAGAAAAGCACTTTGTCAGGGATTCTTTTTATGTATATATATATATAAAAAAGGAAATTAAATATTTCATTTTTATTTACATTTACTTGTTGCAAAATTCTCCAGTGGTCACGCAGCAGGTCGGGGTGGTGGCTACAGACTCCTGTGCTCCAGACTTTCCTCCCTGAGCCTGTGCCAGCTTGTCACGGCTGGGGGATGCATTTTGGGGCTGGATTTTATTTTTTTTTCCCATTGCAAATTTAGGGTCAGGGGAGAGAAGAGGTATCTAAAGCACCGTGCAAAGAGGGTGTGTAGTGGTGGCATGAGGCCTGGCAGGGGTGGCTGTCGGCAGAGGGAGCCTGTGGGAGCAGAGCCAGGTGCCTGCTTCCCTTCCTGCATCCATCCCACTCTGGATCAGGCACCTTGGAGAAGCTCTGTCGAGCCACAGGCTGGAGCTGGCCAGGGGTGTGGCCATGGACAACCCGTGCCACCTATCCCACAGCCTGGGGAGCCACATCCCTGGGGCTGCAGCATCCCAGTTGCTGGGCTGGATGGACTCAGGTGGATCCCAAGCTGGGCACTCAGCCTGGTAGGTCTGAGTGCCCTCCACCACCAGCCCCATCCACGCTGTCCACAGTGGTCCCACAGAGCTTCCCAGAGGCACAGGGGCTCTGTCCTGGCATCTCCCGGACCTTCCCATGAGCAGCAGCCCCGCTGTGGCTGTTCCTCACCGGCTGGGGACAGCACCCATGGGTGGCAGTGGCAGGGCACGGGGCTGGCAGTGTGTGCAGGGAGGGTGGAACCTCAGGGAGGGCTCAGCATAGGGGGTGTGGGGGCTGCAGAGCTGGAATCAGACTGCCCCTCTCTGGCACGTAGAGACCTTCCCACCCTCCTCCTTGCGAAACACTCAGCCTGTTTATTTGGGCACCAGGCCGGGGGAGAGGATTTGTCCCTTAATATTGGGAGGAGAGGGGCATTAACTATTTCACTCCCGAGCTCTGCTGGCCCTTTTCCCACCCTGTGCCTGCCCAGAGCCCCCCTCAGGCCCTGCACCACACGCCCCATCCTGGCACAGCTCTGGGCTGAGCATCCACCAAGTGCCTCGGCCAGGGCAGTTTGGACACAGCTTTCGTGTCAAGGGCGACGTTGTTTCTAATCACACCCTTTCCCCAGAAGCTCTCAGTGCTGGCAAACAGAAACCTGATCTGTTTTACCCCAGCAAGCAGCAGTTTGGACACCCAGAGCTGAGCAGACTCACCCAGTGGAGCGGGTGCTCCCCCGGCCGGGGCTGAGCAGCCGCTGGCACAAGCCCAGGGCTGCTGTGAGTGCTGGAGCCCAGGAGTGGTAGGAGCTGGAGCCAGGTGGGAGCTGCAGGCTTGGCTCGGGGTCCGTCTGCAGTCTGGGCTGCCCTGGGGAGGGATGGCCAGGAGCACTCAGTCGAGCTGGGGACAGACCTTCAACTCCAAGCTCCAGGGCCCTTGTTCAGGCTCTGAGGTGCTGGGCTTGAACTGGGTGGTGCTCCAGCACTTTGAGCATCCACAGAACATCATTCCAGACACAGGAATTAGGACTGAAGGATATGACAACCTTGGCAGCTGGCAGGATCTCCAATGGCATCGTCACCCTGCAGAGATCCTGTCTAACACACCTTGCAGGGGTCCAGCACCATGATGGAGCTGACCACAGCCATCCAGCTCCTCTTCTCCCTCCATCCCTCCTGGGTAGGAACACTGGCATGGTCCTGCAAGCCAGGCAGCCCTGGGACAGCCAGGAAGGCCAGGAGACCGGGCAGGGTGGCACAGTGCCAGGCAGGATGCTGGCAGGAGCAGCCAGAGGTGCTAAGCTGGTAACACTATCCTGCGGCCGAAACTTGATAAAGGACAGGGGGAGGTTTGTAACACGTGGGATTAACAAGGTCAGCTCGAGATTTTCTCAGGGTGAAAATCAAAGGGAAAAATATTTACCTTGTGTGACTCAGTGAGTTCCTGTGCAGCCAGCAGTGCCCGCTCAGCCCTGAGGAGAGCCTGGCCAAGGAACCAAACCTGAGCCTGAGCCCTCCTGCTCTCCTGCCCCACGCTGCCCTATTTAATAACCAGAGACTTCCCAGCTTGGCCAGCACAGCCAGGCTGCACTGCTGCCTTTTCAGGTTTTCATTCACTCACCCAAACTACAGAAATCAGATGAAGAAGCCCAAGCTGAGGATGCTGAGCACAGAGTGGACACCATCCCAACCCTACTGGCACATGTGGAAGAGCTGCTCTCAGTATTTGCAAAATTAGCACCCAACACTCACCCCAAATCCCTGACTCCCAGCTGCAGTTTGCTTCAGTGCTGCTGAGGTTTAATTACTCCCGAGAGCTCTTCACCCTCTGCCATCCCTGAAAGCACATCGTGTGCTCCCTGTTACCCGGTGTAGCCAGCCCGGCTGAGCCCTGACTGCTTCCAGGGGTGGGAGCCTGGTTGGAGCGGCTGGATTTGCATCACAAATGCCCTGGGCAGGGCTGACAGACAGCGGCTCCTCCGCTGCTCCTGCCTGAGGCACATCTCAGCCTTCCAGCGACAGGCAGCAGCGGCAAAGAACCACGGAATCAATAATTTGGGTTGGAAAAGCCCTCCAAGATCATCAAATCCAAGCCCAGCACTAAGACATGTACCCAAGTGTCCATCCACCCCAGCCGGTGGCAACTGGTGCTGGGTGGGACTAAATTCTTTTACTGAACATGTGAGAATCAAAACAAAGCTGCAAAGCAAATCTTTAGAAATCAAGTTTTCCTGTTTGGAAGCAGAAACCGCATTAACCTGCTCTGGGATCGAGAGTAACACAGTGGCTTCAGCCACTTCAAAGCACACCTGATAAACCCCAGAGGTTCAAAGTTCCAGGTAACCTTTCAAAAGCTTCAGACGTGAAAAATACAGTCATGGCATCACGCAAAGCCTTTATCTCTGTCCTCTGGTGCCACCGGGCAGCAGGTAAGTAAACACATTTGTAGGTCAGCAAAGGTTTCTGCAGCCTCCCTGGGCCATGGTGGCCACTCCTGGTCCCTCTCACCTGTAAGGAAGGGCTCGGTGTGGTGGCCTGGCTGGGCACGGGGCAGCCCCGTGACACACTGGCACCTCTTTCCAGGAGCACTCCCGATGCTGTTAATTACCTGACTGACTGTTCTCTGCTTCCTCGATCATTATTCCACCCCCAGCGAGCAGCAGTGAGTGGGTGACACTAATGGGATTGGTGTGACTGTCCCCCTGCAGCTGCAGGGACACACAATTAGCCCCTGCCTGGAGCACAGCCAGGAGGGAGCAGACACCCTCCCCTCTCCCTCTGCTTCGTTGTCCACCTCTTCGTGGCAAATATTGATGCTTCTCCTTCACACCCCTCACAGGGGAGGAGTTGTTAAGGTGTCCCAGCTTGACCACCCATGTGTGGGGTCGTTTGGGGCCACAGGTCATGTGGGGCCACAGGGGCTGGAGCAGCGGGGCCGGGGGACACGGCAGGACTGCGAGGCAGCACGTAGAGGGGATTAGGGGCTGTGGCCAGCCCTGCAGTCAGCTGGGCTCCGTGCTGAAGTCAGCAGCCAGCCTGAGCCTGGGGCAGCAGCAGAGTGCAGCCCACCGGGACGGGCAGGGTGGCTCCAGCCAGCCCGGCACAGGGAGGCACTGCTGTCCCGCTTGGGCAGCGTCTGCTCCAAGGGTTTTCCACCCCTCTCTGCAGCCCATGAGCGTTTTGCAAAGCCCTGCAGAGATGCTGAGTGCTGCAGAGAGGATCCCATGCACGGGACAGACTCACGAGCAGCAGCAAAAGCACTTGGAGAAGCCCGTGAAGGACTGGGTTCACCAGGGTGGGAGTGCTCCCTGTGAGGGGCCAGGCAGTGACCGAGGCAGGACAGGGGTGCTCACACGGGGTGGATGTGCCCCTCGGCACAGGGGTGGACATCACCTTCACCAGGGAGTTTGGGTGATATGTGAACCTGGAGAACAGGAGCAGCTTCAGGCTCCTGCTGATGGACACCTGCTGCCCAATGAGGAGCTCACTGCCCCCAAATTGCACAGAGTTTGGGTTGAGATGGTCCATACTCTGTCCTGCATGAATAAGCAGCTCCTCAGAGCATGGACAGACACGAACAATGGTGATCTGCAGCTTTTTGGGTCAACCCACTGGCGCTGACCAAAGAGAAAATGTACACTAGCTTCCTCCTGCTGCCCTGGCTGAGCACCCCCAGGTCTGCATGAGGCCACCAGGCATCCCTGGGGATGTGGTTGGGAGAAGCCAGGGCACAGGTGGACCAACAGAGCCTCCCTCCAGCCCTGGGTGAGGCTCAGAGCAGGGAACACCTCTCCTGCCAAATTCCACTCAGCCCTCTGGCCCAAAATGGTTTATTTAGCTTTAAATGCCCATTGACCAGCGACCCTTTCGAGGCAGGCTGGCACCTGAGCTGGCTCCTGGCCTCGTGCCACCTGCACCCAGCCATGGCTGCAGCACGACAACACCCTGCCTAAAACATCTGAAAAAGGCCAAGCCGGCTCTTCCATCTGAAATCCGGCTCCTGATCTCTCACCGGGGGTGACAGGACCCCCACCAGAGCAGCCCTCACGTCAAACACCTGAGCACTTCTGCAGGTATTGACCTCCAAGCCCCAAACAATGGGATGCTTTATTTCATGGCTTATCTCCCATCGCTGGGGTCGGAGCATTTGGGCCTTAATGAGTTGCCCGAGGCCACAGAGCAGC